GGACCAGAAAGGGACCAGAGAGGGACCAGGGAGAGACCAGGGAGAGACCAGGGAGGGACCAGAGAGGGACCAGGGAGGAGACCAGGGAGAGACCAGGGAGAGACCAGGGAGAGACCAGGGAGAGACCAGGGAGGGACCAGAGAGGGACCAGAGAGGGACCAGAGAGGGACCAGGAAGAGACCAGGAAGAGACCAGGAAGAGACCAGGGAGAGACCAGAGAGGGACCAGGGAGAGAGACCAGGGAGAGAGACCTGGGAGAGAGACCAGAGAGGGACCGGAAAGGGACCAGAGAGGGACCAGGGAGAGACCAGGGAGGGACCAGGGGGGGACCAGAGAGGGACCAGGGAGAGACCAGGGAGAGACCAGGGAGAGACCAGAGAGGGACCAGAGAGGGACCAGAGAGGGACCAGGGAGAGACCAGGAAGAGACCAGAGAGAGAATATAGAACACATGGTACTGGACCATAGGGACAGACCACATGGTACTGGACCATAGGGAGAGACCACATGGTGCAGGACCATAGGGAGAGACCACATGGTGCTGGACCATAGGGAGAGAGCACATGGTGCTGGACCATAGGGAGAGACCACATGGTACAGGACCATAGGGAGAGACCACATGGTGCTGGACCATAGGGAGAGACCACATGGTGCTGGACCATAGAGAGAGACCACATGCTACAGGACCAGGAGGGACCAGGGAGGGACCAGGGAGAGACCAGGGAGAGAGACCAGAGAGGGACCAGAGAGAGACCAGAGAGGGACCAGAGAGGGACCAGGGAGAGACCAGAGAGGGACCAGGGAGGGACCAGGGAGGGACCAGGGAGAGACCAGAGAGAGAGACCAGACAGAGACCAGAGAGAGAGACCAGGGAGAGACCAGAGAGAGAGACCAGAGAGAGACCAGAGAGAGACCAGAGAGAGACCAGAGAGAGACAGTTATTATTCTATTGGAGTGAACACACATTTCAGAAAGATGAACCGTTTCATGCTCGTGTTGACGTAATAATGTTTGGTTTATAGCAAGAAATATCTCAGATGGATCTTCAAATCACCCAAATCAAGATGAATCGCTTCAAATACTATGGGGAAGACGTCCACGTGAAGACTGAAATCAAAACATACCGGTAAGTGCATTTGGCCCTAAGTGTTGAAATGGTGTGCGGTATATTCATGGTCTTCTATCTCTCGTCTTGTAGGACTCTAATGACCGAGGGTGAAAAAAAGATCAAGACGCCCCAACAACCTCCACCACTTTTAAAGTGATGAACGCAGACGTGGCTCCAACCCAAAGATTTTAACCGTGTTGCAACATTGTACCTTTCCAAAAACAGATCTGGTCGTTTCTAGATCCATCCATGCTAACATCAGGAAGTCCTCCTATGGTATGACGTCATTGTACCACTGTGACATCACTGTGACATCACTCAGTTTTACGTCTTCAAAAACAAAAGCTTTTCCCTTGAATGAGTTTGGTCATTTCTCAGTTGGTCATTTTCAAATACACATTGAAACTGTTTAGGGACCACTCACAACAGAACATGATCAAACTAAACAACATGAAATGCACATCTCAAAGGTAAAAGGTTTGTCTAAAACTAACCATAAATAGTCAAAGAATCTATAGATTTTACTTTGCCAAAAATACCAAAAGTGAATCCCCTGAAAAACTTTTTTAGTTCAAAATCTATTCAATTTTTCTTTTATCGAAGAGAATATAGACCACATGGTACTGGACCATAGGGAGAGACCACATGGTACTGGACCATAGGGAGAGACCACATGGTGCTGGACCATAGGGAGAGACCACATGGTGCTGGACCATAGGGAGAGACCACATGGTACTGGACCATAGGGAGAGACCACATGGTACAGGACCATAGAGACCACATGGTACAGGACCATAGAGACCACATAGTACAGGACCATAGAGACCACATGGTACAGGACCATAGAGACCACATGGTACAGGACCATAGAGGCCACATAATACAGGACCATAGAGACCACATGGTACAGAACCATAGAGACCACATGGTACAGGACCATAGGGTGAGACCACATGGTACAGGACCATAGGGAGAAACCACATGGTACAGGACCATAGAGAGACCACATGGTACAGGACCATAGAGAGAGACCACATGGTACAGGACCATAGGGAGAGAGGCCGACGTTGTGAACGTTGCAGAATGTGATGGCCACAGTCACAGCAGAAATGTCTAAAACCAAAGAGTGCAGGTATAGATGGTTTCTGAAATCACACTCACTGCACTTTTCTCTCCTTTAAAACGATACTATTCTTTATCATTTCTCAGGAAAACACTTTCTTTACAATCACATGGAAGAGGAAACAAAAAACTATAAGTACGTAAATGTAGAACTTTAAAACCTGAGTGTGTCTCAGTGTGAGGAGTTTCTCTCTGGAATAATTTAGCAGAAGAAATAAAAACAGTTTAAAGACCTTATGCCGGGTTTGATTTATTTAGAAATACAGTTTTAATACCATTTTATATCAGAAGAGAACTACTAAAGGTTTCAAAATCAGTTGTTTTTTTTGTCTGATTCCCCCAAATCGAAATAACCCCATAGCAACGCCCTTAGAAACGAAAAAACTTCACAGCCCTTGGTGACGTCAGAGTGGGTACGTTTCAACGCTGTAAGTTGTTTACAATTTGGTATTCGTTCTTTTTTCGCGGATATTCAAGATGACAAGGCCGTGTACAGCGAGTATGAGATTACTACTAGATTGTAATACTTCGTTGTCTCTGAGATAGTCCAGTGGTTGTGTCGATGGACTGTCAATCCAGATACTGGGGTTCAAATCCCACCTCAGACACATTTTCACTCTCAAAACGGCAATTTATGTGTAGTGAGCAATTGTCACCTGTAGAGGGCAGTATTGTGTTGGGCATCAGTGGAGAGAAGAGAGAAAAGGCAGTCCTGTGGCATAGATCCATGGTTTTCAATGCATGGGCGTAACCCGCTGTGACGTCACACACAGGTTAGAGCATAGACAACTTAAATTCATGAAAAACACGTTCTTTTTATAAAATATAGGATTTTTTTTGCCGGAATCTCTTTCAGATCGACATTGTCATGCAATTTTGATATCCACAATTTTTTTTTTTTTTAAACCCGGCATAAGGTTTTTAAGGCATAGCTAAGTAAATGATAACACTAAATAAAAAGACAAAAACCAAAACAAGAAACACTACTTAAATGAAAACCCAAACAAAACAGCAGTGGCCAACAGCATCTATGAATCAAATGGCTATTAGTTTCATGCCACATAACTACACAAACAAAAGAGCACAACAGTGTATAATACCATGAGCACTATGTACAAAGTTAGTGAGGAGACATGGCCACGCACGACTTTTAACCAGTGGCCGTGGTAGCAGGCTGCTAAACAGCGTCTGCAACAAAGGAAGAAAGAAACACTCACATTAACCTACGGCTGACATCATACAACAACAACAGGGAACGCCGACCCGGCAGCTACTCCAGAGTGAAGCCTGACAGCAGCTTACCTTCCTGTGTACTTGGGGTGTCTATAAGTACTGTCACTCCCGTATTCGTCCCGGAAACCGGATTCGTCCGGAAATTCAGTTTGATCCAATGAGCAAACACAGCAGTAGATTACGTCACGGAATCTGGACGGAAGCGGAAGTAAATATAAAAAACTACCTATTCATGCCTAAACTTAACCAGCCATTCCCATAAAATAACCCCAACCCAGCCTTAACCCTAAACTTAACCATCTTAATCAGACGCCTAAACTTAACCAGTCTCCACTTAAGGACATATTAAACTTTTTGACATGCGCAAACTGAACTTCCGGACGAATCCGGTTTCCGGGACGAATCCGGGAGTGACACTGATTGCTACTGAGCCAATATGGAAATGTGAGGGGAGGGGCATGTTTGCCGGGTGCAGTAGTGTATGGTAGCCAGGAAGGGACAAACTACCTGCCACTACATCTAGGTTGTATTAAAATGTTTTATTGTGGTAAATCATATACATTTATGCTCCAGTGTTCAAAGTCCCAAACTTCTTCTGAGCCTTGTCAGAGAACGACTCAGAGTCAGAGTTCTCTACACTCGCCAACAGCAGAGCGACTGTACTGTATTTACACTGACACTATAATTAGTATTCAGGACAAAGAATTGAAATGTCAGCATCAGAAGAATTCACCCTTCAGCCTCATATGTATGAACCAGAGTCAGTCCCAGGGAACAGACGAGCCTTCTCAAAGGTTAGTGCAGTTATAATATGACGTTAAACAGAATGAACCGCTCAAGCCCAATGTATGCGTCATTATGTGGGGAAAGAGATGTATGGCGTTTGATAGATTTTGCTCTGACTTCTGTACTTCTAAGCTAACGAATGTATTTACTCACACGGACAACTTCACAAAAAAGTTAACATTTTGCATTATTTCATGTCACTAACACTGATTTTAGCGTGTTGCGTGTGGTTGTTCTTAGCGGTTCCTTCTAAGTCAATCGTTCCTATTTATCTTACTGTGATCTGCGTCTGAAACGCGTTCACATGAGACAGTTTGTTGTTCTGTCAAACATCTGTGGGTTTTTATTGTAAATGTTTCGGTGTGACATTTAGTTGAATAAGGACAATGGATAGAGTCTTAGCTGCAAGGCACAGACTGCATTAAACATTTGTTTTTCTTTTATCTGTAGGGGTCAGTGCTGTGTATTAATGAATATAATGCATATAAATATGCTACATTGATATATCAGAAATATCTTATATTGATCCAAAGTTATCAATTAAAAAAATGCAGACTAAGTAGTCTACTGGATTTGCTAATACAAGAATCTGCATGTTGAAGTTGAATACATGTTTAGTATTTGCAGTAGGTGGACAGAGGTGTACGCTGCAGAGAACTCCCAGAGGTAAGTTTCACTTTTGTTGGAGCGGTTCATTATATTGTAATTATTATTTTTTTACTTTAAGGTTAAAAAAAGAATGGATGAAATCCCAGACAGCCCACATGCCAGTTAGATCCTCCAGGATTAGAGCCAGTGTGTCCCAACATCTACTGCCTCCAAAATGCCATAAATGTGCATAAAGCACAGTTTGAGCCACTCCATCTTCGTGGCATTGCTCAGTAAGAACTTCTATATGTTACCGTTATAAAACATGTATGATTCATAACCATCTCCTTGGTCTTACTGGTGTTAGCACAGGTACCATCTCCTTGGTCGTACTGGTGTTAGCACAGGTACCATCTCCTTGGTCTTACTGGTGTTAGCACAGGTACCATCTCCTTGGTCTTACTGGTGTTAGCACAGGTACCATCTCCTTGGTCGTACTGGTGTTAGCACAGGTACCATCTCCTTGGTCTTACTGGTGTTAGCACAGGTACCATCTCCTTGGTCTTACTGGTGTTAGCACAGGTACCATCTCCTTGGTCTTACTGGTGTTAGCACAGGTACCATCTCCTTGGTCGTACTGGTGTTAGCACAGGTACCATCTCCTTGGTCGTACAGGTGTTAGCACAGGTACCATCTCCTTGGTCTTACTGGTGTTCAAGCACAAGTGGTTGCACTCACACCAGTCGACAAAGTCCTTGATAACCGACCGATATTCCAGTTGGTTCCCCTCAGACACACAGCCCACGATGGCGGAGTCGTCTGAGAACTTCTGCAGGTGACAGCTGTGTGTGTCGTGTGTGAAGTCTGAGGTGTAGATGGTGAAGAGAAACGGTGAGAGGACAGTGCCCTGAGGGACCCCAGTGCTGCAGACGACCACCTCAGACTCACAGCTGCAGCCGCACGTACTGTGGTCGCTCTGAGAGGTAGTCGATGGTCCATGCAGTGAGGTAGTTGATGGTCCATGCAGTGAGTAGTATGTTGATGGTCCATGCAGTGAGGTAGTTGATGGTCCATGCAGTGAGGTGAGTTGTAGTTGATGGTCCATGCAGTGAGGTAGTTGATGGTCCATGCAGTGAGGGTAGTTGATGGTCCATGCAGTGAGGTAGTTGATGGTCCATGCAGTGAGGTAGTAGTTGATGGTCCATGCAGTGAGGTAGTTGATGGTCCATGCAGTGAGGTAGCTGATGGTCCATGCAGTGAGGTAGTTGATGGTCCATTGCAGTGAGGTAGTTGATGGTCCATGCAGTGAGGTAGTTGATGGTCCATGCAGTGAGGTAGTTGATGGTCCATGCAGTGAGGTAGTTGATGGTCCATGCAG